TCCAAAACATGCAGCCCTGATGGTTTCTGAAGTACCTAAACCGGAGCCTTCATGGGGTGGCACTGTGGGCCAGAGATCTACAGGGTGGGCCTGGGAGCCCCTGAGAGCCTCATGTGGTCAGATGTGGAATAGGCTGGGGATTGCCTGTTCTCAGGCTTGTGCATGGGGCTGTGGTTTCCAGGTTGAGACCATTGGAGATGCCTACACGGTGGCCTCAGGGCTGCCCCAGCACAGCGGGAGCCAGCACGCACCTGAGATTGCCAATGTGACCCTGGACATCCTCAGTTCTGTGGGTGACTTCCAGATGAGGCACACACCCCATGCATCAATTTATATCAGGGTTGGGCTGCACTCAGGTATGGACTGTGGCTGGGGGTGATGGCCACGTCATTCTCCCAGCCCATCCCACCTCCACCCAGGACGTCAGCTAGGATGACGGAATAGCAGCTTCTGGACTTCTGAAACTCCAAAACAGTACCAGAACAATTTTGCTGCAATTCTTCTTTCCATGATCTCCAGTTCACAAATCTTTTCTTTTCAGCCTCTGCATCTGTCTGGTCAAAGGCACCTACTTCCATGCAGAGGCGCTGAGAGTCTGATGGAAGAGGCAGAACAGAGATCTCATGGTCGTGCAAACGAATAGCTGTTTGCTGAGAACCTGGCAGTCTCAGTCTCTACCCTGCCCTAGTTCTCCCTCGCTCAGTGGCTCCCCTTGTGCACCCCCAAGCCTTTGACAAGCTCTCCTCTCTGTACCCCAGCCTGTGGCCTTCCATCCACACTTGGCTGCCACTGCCTCTGTGGACTGTCCCTGGGTGCCCTTGTCCTTGCTCTCTGTCCTCTCTTCCTGTCATCCTTAGAGGTGCAGCTCACACATAGCTTTCTCCAAGGAGCACCCTGGGATGGCTTGGAGGCCCTCCCCTGGGATGGCATGGTGCTCCTCATGCCAGAACCAAACACAGTTTAAACAGCTCCCCAAGAGCTGGCAGGCTCCCCAAGAGCAGGGACTGGCTCTGATTTATCTGGGTCCCCCAGCCCCAGCCCATGTCCTAGCGCATGTGTCATCTTCTGTCTGGGCAGGTGCTGGGGAGACTCCAGATAGCACTGTCCTTTCCACCAGCTCACCCCAGGGGAATGGCAGTGTCTGGGGACACTAGGGAGAGGGCGCTGCCACTGGAACTGGGGGCTGTCTGGTCTGAGGTCTGCTGGCGGTCACCAGGCACATGTGGGTTTCAGGGCCCTGCATGGCGGGGGTCGTGTGTATCACCATGCCTTGGTCCTGCCTCTTTGGGGACACTCAACACTGATTGGCATCTGGAGTCCACAGGGTTGCGTGAATACTTCATACTATGACCTGCCAGGAGAGGGACTGTCATTCACAATAAGCTGCACACCCTAATTATTTGAAATGGGGCTTAGTCACCCTGTCACCATCTGGTGACAGCACACTCTAGTTGTCAGCGAAGTGACTGGAAGGAGACAAAGCACGGCACTGGTTCTGCTAAGTTTCCACAGGGTTTTTGTGATGATTTCATGAACAAATTAACAAAGAAAACAATGACTCAAGGGACAAGGAACCCGGGCTCCACCCTGGCTCTGCAACCAGCTCGGGTTTATCCACGAGCAGAACACTCTCTTGCAGGCCTCAGCTCCCACATTTTACATGAAGAGACCACTTCAAGTTTGTACTCTTTCTTGACTGCCCGCCAGCTCCCCTTATGCGAGGGCAGCCCCAAAACTACCTCATAGGCAGCCCCAACATTCCAAGCCTCTGTTGCCAGGGGAAACTATTTGCTGGTTTGGTTAGAGCACCTGAAAATATAGACATCCCAAGGCCTCTGGGCCGCATGGGCCATGCAATCCAAAACAGGGAGCCCTGCTTGGAAAGAAAATAAATATATTTGTCTTCTCTGGCTCAGCCTTTGTAGACTTTCCTACAAATAAATATGATGTTCCCAGTGGTTCTGACTTCATCCTGAGTTTCCCTTAACAACCTATGTAATTTGCTTTTCCTCGGGGTCTCTTAGCGACCGGCTATCTAAAGAGACAAGAGAGCTGGAGGGTTTTGTGCAAATCACAACTGTGTGCAGGAACGGATGAACTGGGGCTCTCTGAGCTCTTAATGACTTTACCAAATGCTGGGCACGCTGCCCCACAGGGTGACTTGATCCCTGCCTTCTTCTCAGCCAACAGGATCCACATCAGCCAGAGCAATGTCCAAGCCCTGCTCAGCCTTGATGAAGGCCTCAAAGTTGATGTCAGAGGTCGCACAGAGCTGAAGGTGAGAGACTGTCCTGGTTCCTAGGGTTTGGTTTCCATGGGCAGCAGGAGAGATTCCCATCTCATTAGTGTTGCTGTCTAGAGGTGGGGTTGTAAGTGATCCCCTTTATATACATTCTATGCTCCCCCAAATCCTAAGAAACATTTCTTCCTGGGAGCCACTGGGATGCTTGTGAGAGGAAGGGCCAGATCAGAGATGTCACCTTGTATTGATGGCCTACCTGGGTGGCACTGTAGGGCAAAACACACCAATATATTCACTACTCAGAGCAATAATAAAGCAGTAACCTTGTTTGATTACAGAGGAAAAGTGACGTGTTACAAGGCTCAAAACCCAGAGCTGATAACTCCGATGCCTGTGCCTTCTCCATAGCACAGTTGGGCTCCTATTCATTCTTCAAAACCCCAGTGTAGACATCACCTCTCATTAAAGTCTTCTTTGACCCAGGAATCTCCTCTTTCATCCCCCCAGTGTGACTGACAAGCCTTCTCTGTCCTCCACTGGCCCTGTACTCTACTGTTCAGCACAATCTTGGGTGTACTTCCCCGTGAGAAGCTTAAAGACTGGAAGTGACTTTTCTTCTCACCCCACCTCTTTTTGTTGCCCCAAATTCAAATTTCTCAACTAGAGCTCACTCTGGTGAGGAGATAGGAGTAGGCTGGTTTAAAGGCCTGAGCCAGTGCCTGGGACCACACATTGGGCGCCCTGTTGGCCTCACTCCTTCACACACCTGGTAGTGTCAGAGGAGGAACAGAGGGGCAGCACACTGTGCAAGGGATGCCTGGGCTTGGGGAGTGGATTGCAGAGGTCAGGGCTGTGCTGACTTGCTTGGCAGAGGGATAGAGGTGGCTGCATGTCTGAAGAAGCAGAGGCCAATCCTGGCAGAGGGATGGGGAGGGCTGCACACTGATCGCGGGTCCCTGATACCGGCTTGGGCCCCCCTGGAGCGATGTCCATCCCATAAAGCCCAGCCAGCATGGGATCCAGAATGCCAGGCGGCCAGCCCTGGCCTCGGTACCCCTGAGACTTCTCCCTTCACCCCCAAGCAGAGAGAGGCTCTCCATCCAGAGGAGGCTGCCAGGTCCCTCAGCAGTGAAGGCTGGACAGACCCCAGAGTCCTCCAGTCCCAGCATCCTAGACCTTGGCCAGGGTTCATGATTCTTCTTCCTTTGTGTCATTAACTGACAGATATTAACTTGCTTAATCTTCATGATCGTTTTGTAGGGTGAAGAGGAAATGGAGACACAGAGAGGCAGAATCAGTTGGTCAATTGGGAGATGCTTGATTTGGTGGGCCCAGACAGCCTCCCCCGGTTCTAGGCCACCCTAAGCCTTGGGTGGGCAGGGGGCCCTGATATCCTTCCTCCCTTTTCCAGGGAAAGGGTGTGGAGGAGACCTACTGGCTGGCCAGAAAAGCAGGCTTCCCCAGGCTGTTGCCCGCAACCCTGTGCATCAGACCTGGGTAAGTAAGAAGTATTTCCCAAAGGCTGGGATCTTCCACGTTAAGTTGGGTATTAGTTATTGTTCTGAGTATAAAAGTACTTCCTGCCCTCCATGAGAAAATTTGGAAAATATGGAATTCTTCAAATAATCAATCCCCACCACCTTTCCTGGGAGACAGCCAAGTTGGGGGCAGGGCGGGCCACCTAAGTCCCTCATTCTGTGCTCTGTTCCCACCCACAGTGCTCAGAGCACCTCGCAGGACTGGCCTAGCTGGCCTATACGGGGGCGGGGGTGCAGGGGGGACCACTCTCATTGCTGCTCACGTAGAATCCTTCCGTTCTGGGCTGACCACAGTGAAATCTAGTAAACATTAAGGTACATTTGTCACTTTTCAAGCTGTTTCTGCAAACATGGGACTTTCAGATCAAAAGGGCTCCACCTTTTAGGGCCCCATGAAGAGGATCCTGTAAGAGCTTATACCTGCTTGGCAAGTTGGTGCTGCCCTCTGTCCCCGGTCCCCTAGGACCACAGGGCAAGGGGTATCAATGACCAACAAGGTCTAGGGTCACTGGAATCAATGGTCGTCCCACTAGCAGGGGCTGAGCAGAGAATGCAGTGTCCTTCCGGGTCCCTAAACAGCCACACCAGAACTTGGGCCATCGTGCAGGCATGTAGTCACCCTGCCTAGGATTTCTCCTTCATCAGAGCTTCTGACCAGCTCTTCTTGGCTGTCCCAGGATGCCCCCATTCCAAGGCCACCCTTGTCATCTCTCAAAAACAAGGCAGGCAGGGGACCATGCACAGGCTCCTGGGAAGAGACCAGGAAGGCTGAGCAGCCCAGGCTGCTATCTGAGTGGACAAGACTTGATTATGGGGCGGCCACTGGAAGGAAGCCCCTCACAGCCACGGCACCATTCCCTGCCCACAGAGTCTGTCAGCATTTGCAAAGCCTCCAGCCCTGAGGAACTTGGAGCAGAGCACATCTGAGGGCAGGTAGTGCCCTGCTCATCTCTGAGTGCCCTCCCAGCCCTCATCACACACAGCAAGCCCAGGGGCTCCCAGCAAGCTCAGAGAACACACCAATGCCCCTTTCTTCACCAGCCTGCCAGGCCCAGAAGTGGCCAAGGCTTGGGTCAAGGCTTCTTCCAGCCAGCAGTGTCCCCCCCCAAACCAAAAAAAACCCCTTTGTGGACAGCCTGCCTGGATGGCTACTGGGCCAGTAGCATGCTGTGAGAATAGGGTTCAGGTCTGTAGCCCAGGGGAGTCTAACCAAAGCTGACTGTGTCACCTCGGGCAGGTGCCCCCCTCTCCAGGCCTGGGGTCTGAGGGCGCTTGTGGCCATTCCATTGCAGTCCAGCTCTCTCCCCTAGGTCAAAGCAGCCTCAGCCCTCTCAGCCTTTCCCTTCTGACCCAAGGACATCGGGCCCACCCACAACTCCTGCTCCTGAGCAGAACCCAGCTTCTCTGAAGGGCTCTGTCTGCTCACACTGACCTCACTTCCTCCTCCCACTCCCTCCCAGCCCGCACCAGCTGACCTCCACCCCTGCCTGCCCAGAGAGTTCTGTGGAAGGTCACCAGTGACCTCCCTCTGTGTCACTAGATCTGAGGGCAGTTTTAGTTCTCATTGCTGGCGCGCCACCTTTCCTCTTCCTAGAAGTGCTCTCTGGCCTGGTGTCCACACTCCTTACTCTAGGCGCCCTCCAGCTCCTCCCCTCCCCTCCCCACCCTAAATGTTGGGGTTCCACAGGCCCCCTAGGCCCTCTCCTCTCAGAATCTCCCCTTGCTATGCTGATAACACCCCCACCCAGAGGTGTTGCCTAGGCCCAATCAACTGCCCTTGTGAGTTTCAGCTGTACCACCTGCGGCCCTGCAGTTCCCACAACCCTTCAGATGGCAAATCCCCACCTGCCCCGGAAACCTGGTCCAAGTACAACCTTTATCTGAGATGGCCCTGGTCACACACCTGAACAGAGCCCTGCCATCTCCCTCACATCCATTCTTGTACAAGTGAGAGTTTCCCTAGCACATAGACAGCACTGCCTGATGTTTCTTGTTGACGCATTTATGGAGCTCTCCCTGCTCCACAAGTGCCCTGAGGAGATCCTGGCCAGGACACCCGCACACCAACCACTGATGCCTGGTGCCAGGACACCCGCACACCAACCACTGATGCCTGGTGCCAGGACACCTGAATGCTGACAACACCCTCCAGCCCAGTGCCGTCCTTGCAGCTGGGAAAGTCAAGTCCCCCCTGGCCACATCGTCCTGGGACTGGGAACCTGCAGATCTGGCAGCCAGTTAGCATCCCCAGCTCTCTCAGCTGATGACTTTTCCATTCCCAAACAGAAACTCTAGAGAGTGCCAGAAATGGCTTTATCTTCATGGTTCACGGAGGAGGGAGCATGGAGATCCATTGCAGCAAATATCATTTGACTTGAGAGCCTCCCAGACCTCGGGGCAGGAGGACCCGATACTCAGATCCACATAACCTCACAGGGTCCACATGCATAGGAACACACATGTACAAACACACACACACACTCGCCATGTCCGATGGCCACCAGGTATGTGCCTGCATAGAAACAATGCCATGTACCCCTCGGCTTGTTCTGGAGGTGACAGACAGACAGGAGCTGTGCAAGAGGGCTTTAGGTGCCCCTTGGAGGGGAACATGTCTTGGGGCTGACAGGGAACTTTGCAAAACTTTACCTGAATCAAAAGTTACAACCTGAGTGTTCTTCAAAGTCAGTTTTTCTAAAGATGCTTTTAGCTTCATCTTCTGTGTTTCCCATCTCTGCAGATGTTGTTCAGCTTTCTCTTTGTAAGGATTTGAAGAGCCTGCTGAAGGTCAGGGGGAGAAGACAAGTCTCTCCCCAACTGTGCCTCGGTGTAGCCCTCGACTCAAGACACAGCACAGAGATGCGCTGCTGCCACATGCCAGAAAGACACTAAAAAGTGGTCCCTTCTTGCCCCTCTTTCCCTGTGGACCTGCCTCTTCCCTTGTACCTCCGAGGACTAGGGATATAACCCAGTGACAGAGAGCTTGCCTAGCATATGCGAGGTTCTAGGTTTAGGAAAGTAGGAGGGTGGAGACTCACTGCACTACAATAAAATAAAGTGTCCCCTGACAGACTGCTGTGAGACCTGGCTGTCTTTCAGAGCCTTACTTTGCTCTCTGTGTAACACAATGACTGGGGTCTGCCTGCTGCAGGCACCCAAGGCAGCAAATGAGAGTGAAATGGGATTCAGGCTGGGGATCCAGGGACCCTACAGTAATTTGCAGAACACCCAGACAGTCACATAGCCCTTGCCCCAGAGGCTCCCAATCTCCTAAGGTCACATCCAGAGTAAGGGACCAAGTCAAGGCTGGCTCCTCATCTCCTGGACTGGAAGCCACACATGCATCCTCTGTGTGCCCCTGAGGGATCCTCTGTGTGGCCCTTGTCTGAGCCTCAGTTCCCTAAAGTTCAAGGGTGGGATAAGAGGTGAGCAGGCTTCTGTGGATGCGGGATTCCTAGGAGGAGAAAGGAGCCACTCATCAGCTCTGCATCAGGCTTGAATGCCCGAGACTGTTGGTTGTTCTGGGCACTGGATTACAGTTCTTGTTTCTCCTTTATCCTCAGAGACCCCTGGCAGGACCTCATAAATCAAGAAATCAAGGCAGCATTCACCAAAGCTCTCCAGGGCTCAAGTGAGCCCTGGCCTGGCACTGAGGAGCAGAGGCAGGGATGGGCCTGGCACCAGCCTGAGGCTCCCCTGCCACCCCCACCCCCACCCCCACCCATCCCCCCTGTCCCCCTTCCTACAGGAGACTCTCGCTGAGCTCCCTGGTGGCCACTGACTGCTCATTAATAAGAACCCACGAACGATACCAACTAGTGGCTCCTGTACAAGTCTTAGGAGTAAACGTGCCTCTTACATAAAGCAATAAAGACAGAAATATTCCTTTCCCTCTACACAGTGCTTTATTGCAGACAGGTTATTTCGATACAGAGAGCTTGGTGAGAGTTTATTCTTTCCGCTGTGCGATCGCTGCCCCATTGCTCACGGGAGGGTCTTTAAAGTCCCTAGCAGAAAGCGTGGCACGCGGGAAATGCAGTGTTCTGCCTTCTTCGCTGTGCTCCCCCAGCCAGCCGGAACCATCAGGGAGGGTTGAGGAGCACAGCACAGGGAGTCCCGGTGCACAGCTGCGTGTGCACAGCCCAGGGAGTCCCGGTGCACAGCTGCGTGTGCACAGCCCAGGGAGTCCCGGTGCACAGCTGTGTGTGCACAGCACAAGGAGTCCCGGTGCACAGCTGCGTGTGCCTTGTGAGGACCACAGCTGCAGGCACACGCAGGAGTCCCAAATCAAAGCAGCCTTCAGTTTTCCTTCCATGAGTGTGTGATGCGGCCGGCAGTTGATGTCCGTCAGCTCCCACTACACACACAGTACGGACCAGATCCCTTCCCTGCCTGCCTTACAGCTGCTGTTAGAACAAAAAGGGTGGGATCTGAAGTCACACTAACTGGGAGGCATGAGACACACATGATTTAGGCACTCAGGCCTGTGTGAACTTACCTGGGTGGCTGAGTGTACATTATATACATTTACATCAGAGTTCAAAGGGCCACTAGCAGACAGGTGACAATGAGCTCATGCCGATGCCTGTGAACCTGTGCCTTGTCACTGTATTTGCATGCATGTGTATGTCTGCAGTATCTGCTTGCGCTACCCATCTGTGCATATGTGCATTCATATGTCTACATGTACGCATTGCGTCTGCAAGCCGCCAGCTCTGTGCATGTCATGTGCCTGGGTCTCTTCGGGTACCTTAGCCTAGGAGCAGTGGCACATCATGTATCTGTGTGTGATATCCAGCTGTGGACCTAGCTCTCAGGCCCTCCAGATGTGTGGCCAGGGGAGAGCCTGGCCCTTCTTCACCTACCCTATGAGCTGCCCACAAGCATGGGCCAAGGCATTCCACTCTCAGAGGCTACTGGCAGAACCTGAGGGCTCCAAAGCTGACCCACAGCTCATAACTACACTGCCTGGGAGTGAGGGAAGCGGGTGAGCACACACTGGAGCCTGCATTGCATGCTTGCCCATTTACCATTTACTTCCATGTGCAGTGCCTCAACCATACCACTCTTGGAGACAGGAGTTACTGACCACTTTCCAGATGAAGATGGCAGCTGGGCGGGGGTGAGATGCCTTGTCCCTGCCTATCTGTCTGTTGCCTCCTGACCTGAGGAACAGACACAACAGTACCTATGGAAGCTGAAACAAATAGCAATGGCTGCTGAAAGGCTCCCAGGAGGAGGGCTCATGGGTGCACAGCTCTCTCCTCTGCAGAACGAGGGCGAGGACAACACCTCCCTAGGGAGGCTCAGGAGGGCCCCAGAGCTAGGCTGCCACTCTGGAGAGGAGCCAGCCCACCATTCACACAGAAGTCTGCACATGTTGGAGAGGGGCCCCAAGTCACGCCTTTCACAATGATCCTGGGATCTCCACCAGCCTAGTGCCTTCTCCTCTTCCTTCAAGGTGGGACATTCCTGCATCTCGAGAGAATGTGGCCTCACTGTTGCAGATGGAGCCATAGACTTCTGGAAGATATCATAGTGCCAGGTTATCTGGCATCATTTGGTTCCTGGTTCTTTAGGTGGGCACAGCTGGGGATGGGTCCCTGGAAAAGCTGAAGTCTGGAACCTGGTGTTCAAAGCCCTCCATGGGCTGAGCCTACCTCACTACTCCCAAGGCATCCATACTTTGGCCATGTCATGGTCCCTAGACTCCCCAGGTCCTTTATGATGCCAGCACTTTGTTTTTGATGCCTTCTCTGCCTAAGTGACCTAATCCACTTTCCAACACCCAGTGAACACCTACACACAGGCGAAAGCTTCCCTATGGGGCTGGGGAGATGGCTCAGTAGGATAAGTGCTTGCTTGGCAAGCGCAAGGGCCTGAGTTCAATCCCCAGTTCTGAAAAAAAAAAAAAAAGAAAAGAAAAGAAAGAAAGAAAGAAAAGAAAAAGAAAGAAAGAAAAGAAATGAAAAAGAAAGCCTCCCTAACTCCCTAAAAGCCACCTTCTCCTGACATGCTTTCTCACCCTGTTCAGAATGAAACAGCTATTGCCATATCTGATCAGCTTTGCTCATTCCTCTGGTACAATGCCCAGGACAGGCAGAGGTTGGAGGATGAACTAATGAATAAACACGGGGTCACCTGCCCGGTTTCTCCCCACTGCTCCTTATGTCTGTTCTGGTGCTCACCTGGAACCCTGCTTTCAGATGACTGCTGAAAACATCAGCACATGGTCTCTCCTGCTGCCTTCCCACCTCACCACCTGCTGTCACAATGGCTGTCTTCCCTCCAGCTCTGCACCAGTTTGGATGCTCTTTCCCAGGCCCCTGTTCCCCGTCTTTCTGACCTAATCCTCCTCTGTCTCTCCAACCTCTGATCCTTTGCTACCTCCTCCAAGAAGCCTTCCTGGAACCCTCCCTCCCCACTCCTCTGGATCTATACCCTTCTGACCAACTCTGTCTAGGTGTGGTCTGGGTTGCCTCTCCTGGAGGACATGATGCTTCCTGAGAGCAAGGTTGGCCCTCAACCACCTTTCTGTGATCCTGGAGTCTGATCTGCAAAGGTCAGTGAAGAATAAATAGGACATGTCAGGGGAGGAAGAAGGCTACCACCATGCAAGTGGACCTCAATTTAAAGAATCAGTATGCATGAAAATCTGGATCTGCCCAAAAGGAGTCTACACTCCAGTAGGAGGTTAGGTGAGGCAGAGGTGGAGGGCAGGGCCACATGTATCGATCCCTGCTCTTTGCAGTTTCAGAGCCATCCTTGTTGTCTAGGGAAGGGTGCCCACCGCCAATTGATAGGTGAGGAACCAAGGTCCTGCGAGGAGAATCCTGGCCACGTGCGTTGCTGAAGTCACCTGGGGCCCAGATGCCCAAGCCAAGACTCCTTCCTGAGACCAGAGCACGGCTGCCTCTTGTCCTGGACTCTGTTACATGTGTCCCTCCTGCTCAAGACTCCAGTCCCCTCCTCGGGATCTGGACAGTGTTAGACCAAGTCTGGTGGTTCCTCTTTCTCAGAGAGATTCTTCAGAGGTCCACTAGGGGGCAGGCAGGTTGTTCCAGATAGAAGCAGACGCCAGTGAACCTCTAGCTCACTGGGCTCAACTGTACCTGGCTGTCAGCAGCTGGGGATATACAGGCATGGGGGCTCACTCTGAGGCACCTTTCTTGGGTCCTCTCCCTGATTACTGAAGGATAGTAACAGGATTGCCGGTTTGTGGGTCCTGTCACCATCTGAAAGTCCTGGACCAACCCCCACACACCTGCCCAAGTTTTGTCCAGCCTCTAGTCATTTACATTTTATACTAAGTAACAGCTACTCAGCATGCTTTCCTGGGTGTGGGCTCAGGTGACCTCCTGGGAGGCAGGTGTGCCTGTCCCCATCCACATCTGGGAAAGCAGGGGTCCTGGTGGCTTTCCTCTTCCACAGAGGACCAATCCCTCCTTCTGGGCTCCAGATGCAGCAGCACATCTGATGTATGGGTGCCCCCCTGAGGAGCCCCAGATCTCCTTGACTGTACTCAGCCTGGCTGCCTGGCCCCGAATGGGGTGACAAACCCTTATCTGTCCTTCCTGTGACATTTCTCCACACCCTCACATCTGATCACCCAGTCTCAGTTGGTCCCAGTTAATATATCATGATGATCTCTGCCTTTAGGTGGGGAGCAGTGTTGGGATCCAAGCCAAGCCCTGCACATGGTAGGCAAATGTTCTACCACGGAGCCACGGCCTCAGCCTTGGACTCCCCGTCTTTCTCCACCCTCAGCAAGAGCATTCGCCTCCTTGCTGCCCTCCTACCCCAAGCCCACTCAGTTTACCTGCAGCATAGATCTTGCCTCCTGTTGTAGTCAGAGTTTGTAAAGGAAAAAAATTTAATATGGGACAAATAACATATAGGATTCTAATTATATTATATGGCCACCCAAAGAATCAAGTACAAAGGAGTGGAGGAAATCTGTCTACACATTAAAAACCAAAAGAATCCAGCTGAAGGCCTGGATCCCATGGCAATGTCCTGCAGGAGTCCAGCTGAAGACCTAGAGCCAGTAGCAGTGCCCCCCCCCCAACCCTGAGTCTAGCTGGAGGCCAAGAAACCAAGACATTGTCACATGCAGGCCTGTTTCAAGGTTCTGTGCTGGGAAGACGCAAAGGCCAGTGGTGGAAGCTGGAAAGTCTATGCCAGCAGGGTGAAGGATCTGTGCCAGCAGGCTGAGGGGTCTGCACTGGAGCCAGGAAGTAATACTTAAAGTAAGAACCAAAGCTTCCCGGAAGGGTACCACAGCCATTCTCAGTGACAATGAGGTTCTGAGCTCCTCCAACAATGAAAACAGCCAAGTTTATAGCAGAAAAGCCAGCATGACAAGTTTCTTCAGGAGACTGAGCAGGGTACCATCTTCCCCTTCTGAGCCATGGAGTGATGCTCAAAGTAAGGACCAGAGCTCCCCCAAAGTGAACCACAGCCATCCTCAGTGACAAGGGCCTAGGCTCCTCCTATGATTAGAACAGCTGAGTTCATGTCAGGAAAGCCAGCATAACAAGGTCCTCCAGGAGAACCAGCAGCCCCACTTCCTCTCCTGTTCTCCTTCTGTGTTGCCAACCATACTCAGGTGGACCCTCCACACCCAGCACCACGCCAACTCAGTTCAGATGGGTGTTACAAGCTGACCACCAGTTGTCAGTCCACCACACCACCTCACTTTCCTATCTGGCATTTGCTCCACTCCTGACAGCCAAGGCCCTTCGCCAAGGAGCTGCTAGCTG